CACTCACTTACAGTCAATGTAAGTTGTGCCCTATTCCCAGCAGGAGAGGGCTCTTTAAAGTAGAGACACTGCAGCTCTTCGAGGCAACAGTTGGCTCTCTGATGTGGCTCCTCTTCAGAAACAGAGCCTCCACAGAGAGGCTGGGTCCGGCTCAGACTCTTCCTCTTCCTCACCAGATGCCCAGCGGGACTCTCTGCAGCTCGGCGAAAAAACCGTGGGTTATGTGGCAAAGTTTCTCCGTTTCCATTTTGGGCTCATTGTGTTTCCGTCCCCGCTCTGAGGCTGGCTTCACATGGGGCAACTACAGCCCAGTGCTGCTTATTACATTGTTCCTTTGGTTTTATGAGTTCAATGGAAGGACTCAACTCTTTCAGTCACACATCCTGTGAAATGATACATTATATTTAAATGTATTGTTATTTTTACATGGTTTTATTTCTAAGAGAAACTAAGGACAGAAGAGTGGGTGCCAGGAGCACAGGGCGATATCTTTCACCATAAGGAGAAAACACTCTCATTTGGCATGTGTGATTTATTTTTAAATGTAACACTGAAGGACACAAACTTCATTATAATAACTCAAAATAAATTATATTTCTTATGATATTTCTGAGTAACAACTCAGGTCATCTCATAGACATTTCATGACATAATGTGAAATGTGACCCATTTCACTAAATACTAAAGTGTAGAATTGATAGGATGAGGAATAAAAGGAAAGAGAGTGTTGCTGAGCCCAAGGTTGACCGGACATGATTCGTAAAACCTAAACAGTCCAAAAAAAAAATTGCCATCGGACCAAAAAGCCTGTTTTCCCCGAACAGATAACCATTGCTTCAGAAAGTCTCCCTGCAACAAAGAGAAGGACATTATTATATCATCTCAATGCAGAATAACAGCTTTGTTTTGGAGACTGTAGCATAGGCACGAGGCGCCCTGATCTGATTGGCCAGTAGCTGTCGCCTTCATTGCTGAGGTTCAGGCACGAGGAGTAAGATTGGTTAGGCCGAGGGTCAAAATATCACATCAAGCCAATCATGGGTAGAGAAGGTCGGGACATGCCTTAACCGTCATGCTGCATGTTAATAAGTGTGATAGATGGTTGTTTGTTTTGGGACAAATGGGCTTTCAGTCCAATGGGACATTTTTAAGACCCTTATAGGGTTTCTAAATAAAAAACATTGGAACAATAGAATGGCAGAGCCTCTTCAGACCAGGCCTGGATTCACAAACTGCTTCCAGACTTAACCATATGCACTTAAACAGCCAGGAAATAACTGTATTTAATATTAACAATACTGCCAAATAATAATAAATAAGACGCCAAGAAACATGAACACAAACCCCCCCCACCTCACCTCAGATTCTTAGTCTTGTTTTTTTATGATTTGTGTTTTAATCGAAATTATGATTTCTTATTTGTTCTACTTTTGACTATATTTTAATGTAGACCTTTAATGAACACTGATGCACTGAGCAGTTTGGTTAAATGAAAAAGACAGATTGTTTCTATCACACAAACTAAGGTATTGACAAGATGTACTGTATTGGTATTTGTATTCTTGAGTTCGTGTGAGCTTCAAATGTGGACGTTTTTTGTTTTGTTTTCAATGGTTTTCAGTGAGGAAGAAGTGTGTGATTCCCCGTGTAAAGCCAGCCTTACCCTTGGTGCTGTTGGGTCATTCCTTCCTGTTAGAATGCATCAAATCAAAGTGTACATCTCCACAGCTATGCACAAGCCATGATGTCTTTGAATAAAGGCGTTTCAGGCAGGTTTAACTCCATATCCTGCCTCCTTTATGCACGGCAGGCAACATATTACTGAGCACATTTTGGAGACGTGTGCTGTTCTAAGGTCGAGATCAAATCTGTGAATATCAACTACAAGCTGGGATTAAAGCCCCGACAGAGAGGAGTCATCGCCTCTGAAGTGAGCTTTGTGTTCATCTCCACGTCTGAGCAGCGCAGCTCTTTATTGGCTGAGCTTTAGCTGATGAAATCTGACCCGTGCTAATTTGATAAGCACATAATAGGATTAATTAGCTGATCCTGAGTCAAATGGTCTCAGTTAGCTGTAGGGCCTTTACGGGCAGCGAAGAAACAGATAGAGACATGAGAGATAATAAAACCGTCACAGATTAGTCCGCGACAACCAACCAACCAACAGACACTCACTTCAAGAAGAAAAAAATCACTTTACATTCGAGGAAGCTTCCTCCGTCAACCCCCCGAACTCCGTCTCATTTGCTGCGTTTTATTAATGCCATGTTTTGTTGGTCTATTTGCACAAACATTAGTGGCATTGTTTTTTTGTTTTTTCCTGAGGGACCAATGGATGAACTGGGAGTCCTTGACATCTCTTTCCAGAGGAGTGAAGGCCATCCCAAATCAAATAAGACACTCTTTATCTGAAAATGAATGAAGTCGCTCCATGATTCTTGGTGGGAAATCTTGCTGGCTGGATATGCTTAAATTTGCTTCACCATATCTTTGTAAATATGTGTAATTATTAAAAATGATACTGGTTTTCCGTGAAGAGTCCCTTTTTTTTGCACACGACGGCAGAAACATTCTTGCAGATGCTACAGTTTTTTGTGCGTGTGTGTGTGTCCAGTATATCTAATCTCATCTAACCAGCATTCACCACCTCACACCATGTTCTGTGGTTATTTGAGACGGAGAAAATAACAGTGAACACTTGAGTTAACGTTAGCTCAGCATGTTTCTCGGATAACTTCAAGTCCAGACATGCAGTTAAAGTTAGTAGAGTAAAAACCAGAGGGATCTTTAATGTGTTTTCTCATACGTTGATTCAAACTGGACAGAAAGTCAATTAGGACAGCTTCTGGCATCTGTTTTAAGGGATACGATGCAATTACAAGAAACCAAGCTAAACGTAAGTACATACAGAAATGAAAAATCAAATATAGGTCCCGTCGTTTATAGACATTTTAATACAGAGATGTTCAATATTATACCTTTAAGCAGTTTTAAAAAATGTTTCTGTGCTTGAGAAGATCAAATCAAAAATACATGAAGTGGTTAGCTTAGCTTAGCATGAATATTCCCAGCGGGAGTAAAAGCCGGGCTGTGTCTCTGAAGCTCTCTGTTAACACACTTTAATTCATCTGTTAAACATTACAAGAGACACATCTATAACATTACATTCAATTCATTTCAACAGCCCTTTTCTTTAGCAGCTTTGTGCCTAGTTTCATTTCGTTGTTTGTGAGCAGAGCAGTCAAAGCGCCCTGGTGTCAGTGTCTTCAGTTGTGAAACTTCTTCCAGTGTTCATGTCTGCTGTCCAAAGAGCACCTGTCACTTTGAGTCAGGACCCAGAGTGGAGGAGGGCTCCGTCAGTGTACCATCTGATCGTGTGTGTGTGTGTGTGTGTGTGTGTGTGTGTGTGTGTGTGTGTGTGTGTGTGTGTGTGTGTGTGTGTGTGTGTGTGTGTGTGTGTGTGTGTGTGTGTGTGTCCTGTCCTCTCACCAGCTCATGTCCACGTTGACCTCAGACAGACAGCGGGCCAGGTGGCCGTCACGCTCCATCTGTGTGGAGCTGAGAGAGGAAGAAGCAGATCTGTTGGTGCACACTTTGCCATCGGTTAAAAACAAACTAAAGACTCCAAGTGATCACATCCAGCGTGAACCTGCTGTACTGACTGTGTGAGTGTACAGGTGAGGCTGTGACACACACACATTTAAAGCTTCAGTTATACTATTCAAAAGCTTTGAATGTGGTTCCATCATAACCCTATGAATAAATGGAAAAGGTTTTGAATGGCTTAACACAAACAAATATATATTGAAGCTGTCAGTGTTAACGCTCATATTTCATCTGGAAACCTAAATGCATTAAGGAAGTGTGGGAGATGATTGACAGATACCGCAATATGAACATCACCATACAATCAAATACCCTTTACAGCGCATATTATACATTATACAATATATATTATGTATTGGCATTGCAATCCCAGGGAATGACAGCACCTTTGCCACAAGTTATAATAAAGAATAAAACACTTAGATGTATTTGACTGGTTTGTCATGCAACACCACTCATTTATTTGTAACTAAACACATATAGAGTTTAATCAAATTAAATAAATGTGATTCAAATGGCAGAAAGCCTACATTCTCCAAACATGTGAAATGATGGAGGAGAAGGAATCCTGATGTTATTCCTGGTTAAGGCACAACAAGCGATAACTGTGTAGCATCACTCACCCCACAGTGAACTCCAGCAGGCACATGGGACAGCTGGGCAGCCCCTCCCCTCCTGCTGCAGCTCCAACAGTCCTCAGTACCCCCTCCTCTTTATGCTCCTCCACCCTCTGCAGAGAACCCTTCCTCCTGCCCCCCCCCTGCTCTCTGTTGAGCGCTCCAGTCTCTCCTTCTTTCCTCCACCTGTCTCCCCCATCACCTGAGGGTGTGGTGGGTGATGGTGTCTCCTCCCAGCTGTGGAGGGGGGGCCTTGTTGTTTGGGTGGGGGGTTCACTGGGCCTGCAGTGAGAGGACAGCACTGAGGGCTGCTGCTGCCTGAGAGGGGAGGGGGGGGAAGGTCTAGGGAGGGGGAGCACCTCTCTACTGAGGTCACACCACCGCTGCTCCGCTACCCGTCCAGCTGCAGGTCTCTGAAAGAAAAAGTCTTGTTCAAACTGAAAAACTGGAAAAAATTTGAAAAACTTGGGACGGATGATTATGTGTTCTATCTCAAACATCAAGTAATAAAGGCCGCTGTGTTCAGGAGGGTCTCATCCTTTCTGTATTACCAGAGAGTGGAAACTCACTGTACTGCTTCTACACTGTCAACATTCAATCCATCATCAGAGGTTTGATAAAGGTTAGCACTTTGAATATAAAAGCTTACTTCCTGAACATAATGACATCACTATGTAACATTTGCGCTTCTATTGGCTTGCGCTCCAACACATTGTACGTGATAGGCTAAGGGACGGGACATCTCTAAGCTGTTGACCAACCACTACAGAGCTGGCCGGCTAACCAATCAGAGCAGACTGGGCTCTGGTTTCAGACAGAGGGTGAAAAGAGGTGCTGCAGCACAGGCAGTATGAGAACAATAGAGAGCTTTTTGAACATTGAAGCATGGAGACATGTCCCGGTAGAGACACTACATACTGATATACACCTGAACATCAGCAGGAGAGGACTCTTTAAAGTAGAGACACTGCATACTGATATACACCTGAACATCAGCAGGAGAGAGGACTCTTTAAAGTAGAGACACTACATACTGATATACACCTGAACATCAGCAGGAGAGGACTCTTTAAAGTAGAGACACTACATACTGATATACACCTGAACATCAGCAGGAGAGGACTCTTTAAAGTAGAGACACTACATACTGATATACACCTGAACATCAGCAGGAGAGGACTCTTTAAAGTAGAGATGCTACATACTAATATACAGTACACCTGAACATCAGCAGGAGAGGACTCTTTAAAGTGGAGACACTACATACTGATATACACCTGAACATCAGCAGGAGAGCACTCTTTAAAGTAGAGACACTACATACTGATATACACCTGAACATCAGCAGGACAGGACTCTTTAAAGTAGAGATGCTACATACTAATATACAGTACACCTGAACATCAGCAGGAGAGGACTCTTTAAAGTGGAGACACTACATACTGATATACACCTGAACATCAGCAGGAGAGGACTCTTTAAAGTAGAGACACTACATACTGA